GCTGCTGCGACAACTACACGAAAACTCCGAAGATATCGCGGCATTAACGGCGGAACGTACCTCCCTGCAAAATGACCTCGCACAAGCACAATCCCAGGCACCTGGCACTCCGATTCAGCCCGCACCACATACATCGCAACACGGAAATGTGGGGCAACCCGCAAGCGCCGCAAGTGATGGCGTCATCCGCCATGACGAAGACGACGACCACGGCACGACACACCCCGATGCGACGAATGCGGCCAGGAATTAGCCTCGAGTCACGATTTCAGCGCCGATGCCGATGAAGTCGCAGCGTCCGCCATGCTTTGACCCGAGTCAGCGGGGGGGTCCTACCGTTCAATCGTGGCTTTTCACGTTGAACGTCTTCTTCGATGCGAACTACGTCTCGGAGGATACGGCGAAGATTCGTTACGCCGTGTCGTTGCTGCGAGGACCCGCCATGGACTGGTGGCGTGTCATTGTCACGAAGCTGGTGGACTACGCGACTCTACCAACACGGGAAGGACAAACCGGACCCTGGGCGCCGTCGTATTTCGTGGAGATGCCCCAGTATCGCACGTGGGATGCGCGGTGCGCAGGTCTGCGCGCTCGTTTCGAGCCAATTGCGGCTTCGATCACGGCGCGACGAAGGCTTCGCACTTGGCGCCAACTCGGTCCCGTCCAAGACTACATGAGCGGGTTTCTGGCGCTATGCGAGCAAGTGGGTTATGTGCACGAGAGCGAACACATCGACCGCTACATTGGCGGCCTGAAGCAGGACATCGCTCAGGAAACCCAGCTTCATGGTGTCACCGATTTTCAGGAGATTCTCGCCATGGCGGAGAAACTCGATTTCTTCTGCCGACCGAGACCGGGGTCCTACGGAAGCAGCAATTGGGGACACCGGCCTCGTGGGACGAACGAAAGCGCTACGATACGTGTCGTCGCCGCAAATGCCGCTGCCGCACCGTTCAAAGGGCGCTGCTTTGCGTGCAATCGGCCGGGACACCACAAGAGCGAATGCCCAGAAAAAACTAAGGGAAAGGGGGAAGCTGAGCAGCAGAAACAGACCAAGCAGTAGGGAAACGCTGGGAGTCAGTAGCAGACGGGCCCTCTACTGACAGGTCACGCCGCTCGCCCGACCCAAGCGACCCTCACCAAGTGATTGTGCCGGTTCACGCAATCGACCACACCCGGCCGAATAAGGAGGGGACTACGGTAGACAGCCCTATACTGCTTAGTGGGAAAATCGAAACGGACTTAGTTCAAATCTTTGTAGACGAAGGGGCCAGCCACAGCCTCATCAACACTGCCACAACACGAAAACTGCGAATGCCACTGGACAGATGTTTACCTGAGATCGACGCAAGACTGGTCGACGGCACGCCACTGGCGATACGGGAACATGTGGACCGAGTTCGGATTCGATGCGGGGGTAACTTCACATTTAGCCAGGAAATGCTCGCAACGACCCTCGACGGAACCGATATTTTACTCGGGCGTGATTGGCTGCGACAACACAATCCGCGAATCGACTGGACGACGGGTGACTGCACTGTACGAGTGAACGGTAACAACATCGCCTTACCTCGCTGGGGCTCGCCTGAGTCTTTGTCGGTGCGTGTCAACGCGATCACGATGAAACGCGCCGTAGCGGCAGGAGCTGATGTGTACGCGGTCGGCATTCGGGAAGCCGAGACGGCAGACAAAGGAGGGGATTTACAGAAGCTGCTAGCCGACGTACTGAGTGATTTGGCAGCACTGTTAAAGCAGTACAGTGACATCTTCCCGGACGACCTACCGACGAGACTGCCACCTCAGCAACCGCACGACCACAGGATAGAACTAGAAGCGGGGGCAAAACCGAGAGTACAGCGACAGTTCTGACTGACCCAACCCGAACTGGACGAACAGAGGAAGCAGCTGGATTACCTGCTCGAGAAGGAGTTCATTCGCCCTAGTTCGTCGCCCTTCGCATCACCGATACTGGTCACACCGAAAAAAGACGGGGGTTTTCGCATGTGCATAGACTACAGAGCACTGAACAGGGTTACCATAAAATCCCATTACCCCATCCTATGAGCCCACAAACTGATCGACCAACTGCACACAGCCCGGGTTTTCTCAAAAATCGACCTTCGAGGAGGTTACCACCAGATTCGCGTCAGCCCACCCGACTGCCCTTAGACAGCCTTCCGAACACGCTACGGATCCTTCGAATACACCGTCATGCCCCTCGGACTGACCAACGCCCCCGCGCTTTTCAAATGACCATGAACGAAGCCTTCCGCCCGCTTTTAGACAAGTGCGTCATCGTGGACCTTGACGACATACTGATTTACAGCCCTGACAGAGCACAACACTTACAGGATATCGAAGCAGTTTTTAAGATACCGAGTGAGAACCGCCAACTGACAAAAGCGTCTAAGTGTGAGTTTTTACAGGACCGGTTGCAAAGTTTTTTGGGGTTTGTCAACTACGTGCGCCGGTTCGTCCCCGACATGGCAAAGCTGACCGCCCCGTTGACCGACCTGCTGAGGAAGGGGGTTGAGTACACGTGGGGGGAGAAAGAGCAAGCTGCCTTCTCGGCCCTCAAAAATATGTTGTGCTCACCGCCCGTACTTCACATCGCAGATCCGCACCGTCCGTTCGAGCTCGTCACCGACGCTAGCGACATCGCTGTGGGAGGAGTACTGTTGCAGGACTTCGGGAACGGCCTCCAGCCAATCGCGTACGAGTCCCGCAAGCTTCACCCGCCCGAACGCAACTATCCGATACACGACCGCGAAATGTTGGCGTTCGTGCACGCGTTCAAGGTGTGGCGATGTTACCTCACGGGAGCAGACGTGACAGTACGGACAGACCACCGATCCCTACAGAACCTTCGCGCCCAACCGAATCTCAACCCACGGAAGATCCGCTGGTTGGACTATCTGGAGTCCAACTTCCACTACACGGTCACGTACAAAAAAGGCGCATCCAACATCGCCGACGCACTCACACGTCCCACTGCCCAACTCCACGCCATCCTACTCGCCCAAACCAACCCACTGTTAACAGACCTATTCACCCACGGATACAGTACTGACCCATTTTTCACGACCGGAAATTCACAACAACTGGCAGAGGCCAGAGGAGTCTATTACGTAAAAACAGGCACCAACCACATCTGGGTACCCGCGTACTCGCTACTGAGGGAACTGCTGCAGGAGGCGCACGACGGGATTACCTCGGGACAATTCGGGGTAGAAAAAACGCGACAGCAACTGCAGCGGTATTACTACTGGCCGGAGCTGTTGACCGACGTACAGCACCACGTGGGCTCGTGTCCTACGTGTCAGGTGATGAAGAGCTCGCGAAAAAGAAAGGCGGATCAGTTGCAGCCGATTCCACCGCCTGAGCGCGCCTGGCAACAGGTTACCATGGATTTCGTCACAGGGTTACCTTCGAACCCTGGGGGTAACGACGCGGTTATGGTCGTCGTTGACAGGTTGACGAAGATGACACACTTCGCTGCCTGCAAGAAATTGATCTCAGCCGAACAAACCGCTCGCCTGTTCATCGCGGCCGTCGTTTGACTGCACGGGATACCAGCCGCGATAATCAGCGACCGCGACACGAAGTTTACCAGCAACTTCTGGAAAAACCTCTGGGATCAGTTCGGGACAAGGCTACAGTTCAGCTCGTCGTACCACCCTGAGACCGACGGTCAAACGGAGCGGACGAATCAGACGATGGAGCAATTGATTCGTGCCACGTGCGACGACCCGACCACTTGGGAGCACCAGCTGCCGCTGATCGAGTTCGCGTATAACAACGCCACGTTAGCGACGACGCAGTAGTCCCTCTTCTACCTGAACTACGGGCAAAACCCTACAGTGCCCATGACGCCGAGTCCGGACAACCCAACACCACGTGCACAGCAATTCGCCAAAATTCTGCAAGCTGCCCGCACCAAAGCCGATGAAGCAATTAAAAAATCCAACGCCATCGCTAAACGCAACGCTGACCGCCACCGCCGCCCAGTCACGTACCAGTGAGGAGACTACGTACTGCTCGACACACAAAACTTAAGACTGGCCGTCGTACCGAAATTACGACCCCGCTACTGTGGACCATTCCAAATCAGCCACATGATTACCCCAGTGAAAGCTCACCTACTGTTGCCGACGGACTGGTACATCAGCCCTTCGTTCCACGTCAGCCTGCTTCGCCCATACATCCCAACCACAAGCCAACTGCCTCGTCACCGCCCGCCATCCATGACTCGCCCTGCATCGGAGCCGATCATCGAACCCGAAAAAATCCTGAGCCATCGGATTCGACACCCCACGGGAATCAGGAGGATTGAATTCTTCGTTCACTGGAAGGATCGCACGCCAACTGAAGATAGCTGGGTGCCCCTGGCCAACATCGAAAACCATTTTGCCCTGCAAGTGTACCTGCGGAGCCGGGGTTTCCGCGACATACACGCACTCGCGTAGCGGAGAGGGCTTCTTGAGGGGGGGGGGGGGTAGTGTAAGGAATTTTCTGGATATTCCTTAGCGCGCCCTGCAACATCGCGTACAGCAGCAGCCGTTGTTCGCCCGTTACTGCTAACGGGGCTTCGCCGACTTCGCGCGCACTGTTTCACCAAACCTCGCACTGCTGGCCTGGCCGTGTCGGCCTACGCTTCGGGACTAGCCCGAGCCTCGCTTCCAGCATAGCACTAGCTAGCTCGCACGCACCGCGTTACCGTTTGCATGTTTCGCGTATAAATGTTCGCTCATGCCTTCGCTCACATTTTGTACTCGTTTGACACCTTAGTGCAATTCTCGCTACTTAGATTCATTGCACCCGTAACAGTACCCCATCCAAAGCTACAGAACCATTGTGTGATGATCAAACACACTGAAATCAATCAAGGCAATGACCACTTTACATTATGGCATGCTGCTGACAATATATCATGTTTTTTAAAATGTCAATTCGTGTTGCACTGAAAATTTCCATACCTTCCCCTCCTTTTGCTGCACCAGTTACTGCTGCAGCTGCTGCTGCGCCATCTGTGCCTCCCTTGCCTGTGGATCAGCCTTCATGGGCGGCAGCTTGTCACAGTTCCCACCAATCACAAACGACCCCGTGGGCCGCTTCGCCACATAATGTGCAGTGGTGGAGTCAAATGCGTCTGTGGGCTCACACGGGTTCTGCTCCCTTGTCCACATCTTGCACGCACCTGTGGAAGAAGAATTGGGGTATTGAGCATGGGTGTGTGGGTGTGTGGGTGTGTGGGTGAGTGGATAGGGGAGGGTGGGCAGTCCCCTTGAGCCGCAGTGTGCAGTGGTGAAGCCAACGGCATGTGTTGACATGGGTTCTGCTCCCTCGTCCACATCTTCCTTGCCCCTGTTGCAAAAGGTAGTGAGCAGGAGGGGTTTGGATGATTGAGGAGGGGCTTAGGAGAAGACAGAGCAGGAAAAGCTGCCATATGGCCAATGTAAACTGCTGTTTAGGAGGGGGGGTGGAGAGGACGGGTGGTCAGGCCGGGGGGGGGGGGGGAGAGTGGGGGAATCTCGGCCACATACTGTGCAGTGGTGGAGTCAAAAGCATCAGTGTGAAATCCAGAAGGCACACCGGGGGGTCCTGCGGCACTCAACATCATCTCACCTAGCTGCTTGAGACGCCCCAGCCGACAAGCAAGCAAGCATGCGTGCATGCGCTAACAACTGTACTCTTCGCCCCACTCACCTCGCTTGGACCGCATGTTGTACATCCAGAAGGCACACCCGGGAGTGCTCCGGCACTTCAAGGCGCGATGAGCTTAAAGGCTGCAATCCCAACCACAGCGCCCCACTCACCTCGCTTGGACTGCATGTTGTACATCCAGAAGGCACACCCGGGAGTGCTCCGGCACATCAAGGCGCGATGAGCTTAAAGGCTGCAATCCCAACCACAGCGCCCCACTCACCTCGCTTGGACTGCATGTTGTACATCCAGAAGGCACACCCGGGAGTGCTCCGGCACATCAAGGCGCGATGAGCTTAAAGGCTGCAATCCCAACCACAGCGCCCCACTCACCTCGCTTGGACTGCATGTTGTACATCCAGAAGGCACACCCGGGAGTGCTCCGGCACATCAAGGCGCGATGAGCTTAAAGGCTGCAATCCCAACCACAGCGCCCCACTCACCTCGCTTGGACTGCATGTTGTACATCCAGAAGGCACACCCGGGAGTGCTCCGGCACATCAAGGCGCGATGAGCTTAAAGGCTGCAATCCCAACCACAGCGCCCCACTCACCTCGCTTGGACTGCATGTTGTACATCCAGAAGGCACACCCGGGAGTGCTCCGGCACATCAAGGCGCGATGAGCTTAAAGGCTGCAATCCCAACCACAGCGCCCCACTCACCTCGCTTGGACTGCATGTTGTACATCCAGAAGGCACACCCGGGAGTGCTCCGGCACATCAAGGCGCGATGAGCTTAAAGGCTGCAATCCCAACCACAGCGCCCCACTCACCTCGCTTGGACTGCATGTTGTACATCCAGAAGGCACACCCGGGAGTTCTCCGGCACATCAAGGCGCGATGAGCTTAAAGGCTGCAATCCCAACCAAAGCCCCACTCACCTCGCTTGGACCGCATGTTGTACATCCAGAAGGCACACCCGGGAGTCGCACACATCACCTCACCTTGCTGCTTTATACACCCAAGCATGCAAGCGAGCATGCAAACACCTAGAATCTGTAGGTTTCAACCCCCGCACCTCGTTTGGACCGCATGTTGTACATCCAGAAGGCACACCCGGGGGTTCTCCGGCACAGCAGGTAGCACGTGTGCGGGCGGGCGGGGCCGATGCCTGTGTAGGTGAAGTTGAAGTGGCCCTTGCCCTCGTGGTCAAACATGTACCCACGCGTTACCGTGTTGCACGTGAGCTTGGGACACTCGTTGGTTTGCACTGGGAGGGAGTGGGGAGAACAGTGGGGTACAGAGACAACTCGATGAGTGTGAGTGAGGGCGGGTGGGAGGGAGTAGCAAAACCCCTGTGTAGGTGAAGTTGAGTGGCACCTGCCCTCGTGGTCAAACATGTACCCACGTGTTACCATGTTACACGTTAGCTTGGGACACTTGTTGGTTTGCACTGCAAGGGAGTGAGTGGGAGCGAGGAGAAGGAAGGGAAAGAGGAGCTGGAAAGGGGGAGGGGAAGGGGAAGGGGAAGGGGAAGGGGAAGGGGAAGGGGAAGGGGAAGGGGAAGGGGAAGGGGAAGGGGAAGGGGAAGGGGAAGGGGAAGGGGAAGGGGAAGGGGATGGGGCAGGGGCAGGGGAAGGGGAAGGGGAAGGGGAAGGGGCAGGGTGATTTCCTCCTCCTCCTCCTCCTCCTCCTCCTCCTCCTCCTCCTCCTCCTCCTCCTCCTCCTCCTCCTCCTCCTCCTCCTCCTCCTCCAGTGGTGGCAGGGGGGGGATCTTATGTTGCGCCTAGTAAGGGGCATTCCTCTTGGTTTGTTTTCTTACTGCAAGCAAGCAGGCATCAGGGTGCACACAAGCACACAAGCACACAAGCACACACGCACGCAAGCAAGCAAGCACACAAGCACACAAGCACACAAGTACGCAAGCACACAAGCACACAAGCACACACGCACACAAGCACACACGCACACACGCACACAAGCACACACACACGCAAGCAAGCAAGCCACAAGCACACAAGCACACAAGCACAAAAGCAAGCAAGCAAACTCACAGGCACCATCTTCCTCTGCCATCCGCTTCAACTCCTCCTCCTCCTCCGGTGGTGGCGGGGGCGGCGGGGGAGCATTCCTCTTCCTCCGCTTCTCCTCCAGAGTCTCCACCACACGGCAGTACCCCCCCACCACGTACTGGTTGCGCACCAGCCACCGCTGCGCGAAGTGTGCTGCTCTTCCCAGCAGGACCCACCCTCTGGCTTCACATGGATTCTGATCCGACGCCCACAGCTTGCAGTAACCTGGGAGGAAGTGGGAGAAGGGAAGTGGGTTGCTTGAGAGGGGCATGGCAGTACCCCCCCACCACATACTGGTTGCGCACCAGCCACCGCTGCGCAAAATGGGATGCTCTTCCGAGGAGTACCCACCCTCTTGCCTCGCAGGGGTTTTGGTCTGACGCCCACAGCTTGCAATAGCCTGGGGAACCAGGAAACAGCAGGAGGAAATGGGTGTGAAGGGTTCAGCAGTAACCCACCGCTGCGCGAAGTGTGCTGCCCGGCCTAACAACACCCAGCCCTTCGCCTCGCATGGGTTCTGATCTGACGCCCACAGTTTGCAATACCCTGGGAGGAAGTGGGAGAAGGGAAGTGCGTGGCTTGGGAGGAGCATGGCAGTTTCCCCCCATGCACTTCCCAGTGGGAAGTGGGAGGGTGGGTGGGAGGGTGGGTACATACTGGTTGCGTTGCGCGCAGCCACCGCTGCGTAAAGAGTGCCGCCCACAGGCTGCACTGCAGTAGCCTGGGGAATTTGCAGAGGCCGCAGGGAGGAAACGAGTGGGCATCGCAGTAACCACCCCACCATGTATTGGTTTCGCACCAATTTTGAGGCGCCTCAAAAGCCGCCCACCATGTATTGGTTTCGCACCAGCCACCGCTGCGCAAAGAGCGCCGCCCGGCCAAACAGTACCCACCCTCATGCCTCACAGGGAGTCTGATCCAACGCACAGAGCTTGCAGTAGCCCGGGGGGTAAGGATGCGGGAAGGGGGAAGTGGGTGGGGAGGCAGTGGGGAGAAAATGAGAGAAAGTGGGAGGAAGTGGGAGGAGGGGAGTGGGTATAGCACCTCACTCACCTTTCATGCTGCTCATGTCGTACATCCAGAAGGCACACTCGGTCACGTTGCGGCAGGGTTCAATGCAGCACCATAAGATGTGCTCGTTGTAACCTTGTTGACCACGATACACATTAGAATCTCACCTTTGGGGCTGCTCATGTCATACATCCAGAAGGCACAGTCAGGCACGTTCCGGCAGAGCTCCACGCAGCTGTCGGGCTTCTCAGGGCCCTCCCCCGTGTCCTGCACCAAAAGATGCCCCCCCGCTACATACTCCTCCTCCTCCTGCTCCACCACCAGTACCTGCTCCTCCGCCCCCCCTCCTGCTGCTCCCCCTGCCCCCGCCGCCGCCGCTCCTCCTCCTGCTCCTCCTCCGCCTCTTCCTGCCCCTGCTCCCGCTCCCACCCCTCCTCCAACCATCCCCCCTCCTGCTCCTGCCCCACCTCCTGCCCCTCCGGCTCCCCCTCCTGGCCCAAGACGGTGCCTCATCCTGCCTTTGCCAGCAGCAGCAGCAGCAGCTCCGCTGGCGTTACCAGCTGCGGCTGCAGCAGCGGCGGCAGCGATGGCGGCAGCAGAGGAGGCGTTGACGAGGTAGGAGCGGACGACGCGAGGGGGCTTCCGAGGCTGGATGGGGTGGTCCCAGAACATGCCCTCTGTGGGGAACTCGCAGGAGAGGTCGGCCGGACACATGTGCCCCACTCCCCCGATTTCATCTGAGAAAAGGGAGTTACTCGGAGGAAGGGCAAGTGAAGCATAGGGGGGATTCAAACGAACTTGATTCAGGAGAAAGCTAGAGGGGGTGGTCCCAGAACATGCCCTGTGTGGGGAACTCGCAGGAGAGGTCCGATGGACACATGTGCCCCACTCCCCCGACTTCATCTGAGGGAAGCACACACAGGGAAGACATGGGGAACGGAGATGCGAGAATGACTAAGGAAACACACACGGGCGAGATTGGATGAGTTAGAAGTCAGAAAGCAACTGGATGGGGTGGTCCCAGAACATGCCCTCTGTGGGGAACTCGCAGGAGAGATCAGGCGGACACATGTGCCCCACTCCCCCGACTTCATCTGTCGCCCAGTGACCCATAGGGGGGATACAGGTGAGCTTGAATTAGGAATAGGCTGGAGGGGGTGGTCCCAGAACATGCCCTCTGTGGGGAACTCGCAGGAGAGATCAGCAGGACACATGTGCCCCACTCCCCCGATTTCATCTGTTGGAAGGGAGTCAGCAGGCAGGCACAGGAGAGAGACAAAAGGGCTGGATGGGGTGTTCCCAGAGCATCACCAGTGGCGGCTGCAGTAGCAGCGGCCAAGGAGGACGCATCGACGAGGCAGGGTGGGGTGGATGGATCGAGGGACAGAGTTCCAGCTCTCTGTGTGGTCCTGGAACTCTGTGAGGAACATGCACCTCTGTGGGGAGCTCGTAAAGCTTGTCAGGCAAACATATGTGGCTCATTCTTGAGTCGACTCAAATGTCACCTCGTTACCATGGTAGGGTAGGGGGGGGTGGATGGATCTAGGGAATGCTCTCTGTGGTCCTGGAGCATGCCCTCTGTGGGGAGCTCGTAAAACTTGTCAGGCAAACACATGTGGCCCACTCACACTTGCGTGTCTTTTGAGCCAACACTTAGGCCAGAGACTCACAGAGCAGTATCACGACGAGGAGGTAGAGGAGGACGAGGCAGGTGGCTCGGCGCAGCGAGCACGCCCTTTACACCACGCCCTAATACAAGGTACCAGCAACTTTCAGAGCAGCAGCAGCGCGAGGAGGTAGAGGAGGACGAGGCAGGTGACTCGGCGCAGCGAGCACGCCCTTTACACCACGCCCTAATACAAGGTACCAGCAACTTTCAGAGCAGCAGCAGCGCGAGGAGGTAGAGGAGGACGAGGCAGGTGACTCGGCGCAGCGAGCACGCCCTTTACACCACGCCCTAATACAAGGTACCAGCAACTTTCAGAGCAGCAGCAGCGCGAGGAGGTAGAGGAGGACGAGGCAGGTGACTCGGCGCAGCGAGCACGCCCTTTACACCACGCCCTAATACAAGGTACCAGCAACTTTCAGAGCAGCAGCAGCGCGAGGAGGTAGAGGAGGACGAGGCAGGTGACTCGGCGCGAGGAGGTAGAGGAGGACGAGGCAGGTGACTCAGCGCGAGGAGGTAGAGGAGGATGAGGCAGGTGACTCAGCGCAGCGAGCACGCCCTTGTCACCATGCCCAAATTCAAGGTCACCAGAAACTCACAGAGTAGTATCACGACGAGGAGGTAGAGGAGGAAGAGGCAGGTGACTCGGCGCAGCGAGCAGCACGCCCGGAGCGCCACAAACCAAACGGACGGCTGCACCTCTGGCCGCCTCGCTGCCCTCAACTACTCACGGCCCCACTCCATCCCACCCACAGCCGCCCAACACACCCTTTTCATTTCCCCCTTCCCCTCTTCCCCAACAACCCCCCTCCTCCCCGCATCCCACACGCCAACAGGAGAATTCACATTGAGCATTAGGCTTATAACACGGATGCTTTAGAGAATTTCAGAAGCAGGACGGATGTTGTATTCACTGATGAATGCAGATGCCGTTCAAAGGTAACGTAGCTGGACAAGGCAGCAGGAGCAAGGATGGCGTGACAGGGTTGGGTAGGTGGGAAGGGAGGGGTTGAATGGAATCGGAGGAAGGCAGGAAAGGCAATGAACAAAAAGGAGAAGTTGGTAGTGGAAACTGCAGGAGCAGGGGGAATTGGTAGCGAAAGCAGCAGGAGCGGGAAGAGCTGGTTCGCGAAAGCACCTTTTTCCACAGTCGTCGCCTGTCGCGTGCATCCATCGTCGCTTGCAACGGTCAGCCAGAAGCGGCAGCAGGATGGAACCGACCGTCAAGGCTTCAGAACAGACAGACGTCACTGTAGGGGTGGAAAATTGACTTTGAGAGTCTAACACGCGGTTTTGCTGCAAGGTGCAGTGAAACCACGACTAGCCCGTTAGCCGGCTCAATTAACGGTCTGGCAGCTGGCACAATGGATGGGTCGGTCTGAAGTGTACACTGTGGTCGGTAAAACGGTAATTTTAAAGGTCAACACGTCATACGGAATCACTTGTGCGTAACAATGCAATCAGTCTAGTTGGACTCTACATTGTGGTCGACGGGTGTACTCAGGTAGAACCTGTAATGCTGTACTTCCTTGGAACATTGCGACAGGAAACAGATCAGCTCCTCGAAACCTCAAGACTACCTAGATTAGCATTCTAGAAAGCCAACTGCTCAGAATCCGACGAATCCCTGATCAGATGATGCAAATCCTACAGCTAATGTGGGTCTGAGGTGTGGGTGCAGCTGACAGAGACCGTGGGAGAAATGTGCTGGATCGCGCTTCCGGGCGAGTCGTCAGTCACGGAAAACAGTAAATCGTTCTTGGATTTCTTAGCATCGTACCGGTGGTTACAGCTACATTGAGCAGCGAGCTAAGACAAGATAGTTGAAGACGATTAACAGTCTCTTCGTAAGATAGCTAGCACTTCAGGATAATGATACACTGCCCGGCCGTTGTCGGCCTAACGCGTCCGCCTAACGTCTTCCAGTAGTCCGTCCGTAGTCGATTTTGCGGATAAATCATCACTCGATGATCCCTTGGTTTCTTCGTGCCTGCTCTTGCGCAAGACGAACGAAAAAATCGATCCGAGTTACCCGTTCCGGCTGAGTTCGTGCGCCCTCTTGACTCGCTCACCTCCCCCAGGCTTCTCGCGAGTCTCCGTGGTTGTGGTTGGTCGAATCTTCAACCTGGTGCTGGTCTTCGCCGATTGGCTAGTTTCCTACCCTCGAATCCAAACTTCTGAGGGCGGGTCATACTCACTTCATTTTGCCGGTTTCACACCCCTGTATCGAAATCCCAACTGTTCGGGTGACGATCAGTCAATCCGAACCCCGATACGTTCCAGTCCTTGAGGGTGTACACGGACCCAGCATCCCGCCCACACAAACTGAATTGAACAGAACACATTGGCTTCGCGAAAATAGAAATCGTCGCGAGGGTAGCTTGGGTATTGAAAACCAATCGTTCCAATCGACGAAAAGAACATACTCGTTCGAAGCAGGTACACCCTGTTACTGGCGCGTGAGGCAGCGAGTGACGATAGTTCAAAGCTGCCCAGTTTGCAAATATTTCGGAAAATTTACGAGTGAGAAATGTGATCTGGCATGAGACTCGTCTTGCATGTTGGGAAACCGATCGCGTCACCAGTTTGATTTCAATATTTGACGCGGTTACCCTACCAAAAAGGGTTAAATTGAGCTGAGGTGGATGAGCTGGACCCGCCCTGACAGCACCGTGCGAAGAGAGCAACAGAAGCTAGCGAATTCAACCGCTCTCGCGAGCTAGTGCAAGCCTCCCTTCCCTTCTCTGCCATCAAGCCTTCGTAAGAGCATCGTATCATCAAAGCAAATCTGTAATTGTTGTTTTGAGGTAACCAAGGAGAAAATGTAATACCTGGTATATAGTCCCCGTGTTCAGAGACAGAGTTTTCCAACTAGTATCATCACACACTGAGCCTTGGTGAAAGGGTCATATGCTAAGCGCGACCCCTGCCAGTATAAGGGCCCACTCAGTCCAATTCTTGTTCCCAAGTCATTCCTCAATAGCAGGTTATTGTCAGAACTGCGTTGCTACGAACCAACTTGGGAGTCATTTTCAACGTACTTCTCTACACCGAGAAATATTGAGATTGAGTTGAGCTACCTGCTGTAGTTCGAGAATTATTTTTAACGAACCTCAAGCTCGACCAGACTAGAAGCCTTCTTCCTTCACCTCCATGAGCAACAGTCGTTGGATTCAATGGTTGTCCGACTCTATTAGGTCAGTGGTGCTGCTCTCCAGCCCCACTGCTAACAACCGCCATGTGCATCGTCCTCCTCAGTTTCAGAACTGTTGGATCGGCGTTTTAAACGCGAAGACTAGTCCCTGCTGACGTTCCCCGGATCGAAGGGTTCGCGATTCAGCCACGATGATTGTTTTTTCTCCTGTGACCACTCGCGACGTCTCATGATTTGTGCATTTGCGCGTCGATCGCCTTTCGAGATGTCTCGAGGTGAGGGATTTTTCTGCATACGAGGAACGCAGCATCTGATCAGCGAGACACGTGAGACACGTGAACACGGGAGACCTACAGAAGCAACTTCTAGCTAATAGTAACGCTCGAGGAATCAAACGGTAGCTGCTGGTCGCTGCCTCGTGTAGTTTCTGTTTTAATGAGAAGTGCAAGTTTCCAGAATAGGGTGTTACATATTTGCAAGTCCTGACCATCAGTCCTCGATTCCAAAAGTCACCAGTTCGATCAAATCACGGCCTTCTAGAGGGCTGTTTCCGCTGCTAATAACGAGAGCTGCGATTCTCGGATCCTCGAGACAGTTGGTTATTTGTCTCTCAGGAAAAGGCAGCTGTTGAAAAATGGACGGGTTTCGAAGATTCGCGGAGAAGCTGATCAACGATCCGCTGAATCGTCTGCAAGGCGGCTCAGGGGGAGGATTTTACGACCAAGTATGTCACGACCCCCACCGGAATCATTCAGTCATGTTCTAACATATTGTCAGAACCTACCCTCACTTGAAGCAATGGTTTTGTTCTGGCTCTGTATAAAAATCACCGACAATCTATGTCTCACTCGTTGTTATTACAGGAGCCTCCATCGCCGGCAGCAGCGGCCACCAGCCGCAGGCGGCCATGGGGACCCAACGGCCCTTCCAGCGGCCCTGCCAGTGCCAGCGGCAGCAGCAACGGCGGCAGCAGGAGCGGCAACAGGGGCGGGATCACCTTCGGAGGAGGGGGGCTGAATCTAGGCGGAATCGGGGGAATAGGGGGAATTGGGGGAATCGGGGGAATTGGAGGGTTGGGGATTGGGAGCGGTGGTGCGGATGGTGGTGGTAGCAGCAGTGGCGGTGCTAATATCGGTGGTGGTGGAGGTGGTGGCGGTGGTGGCGGCGGCGGTAGTTTTAAGAGTTTTGGAGCTGGAGGCTTCATGGGAGGCCCTGGTGGGTTTTTAGGAGCCGGAACAGGAGGAGGGGCCTCCTTTTTCAAGAACATCCAACGGTCCTTATCCATAGCCGCGCCTGATCGTGGCCGTCCGCCTCCCGCCCCCACCCCTCGCGTCCCCTCCTCCCATTCCGCCACGTACGAGTCTCCCCCTATACGCCCCCAGCCTCCCCCTTCCCATGGCGCTGCGGTTCGGGGAAGATCATCAGGAGGAGCAACAGAGCTTCATATAACGCTGGACGAGATCCGGTTTGAGAACCAGAGCAGCAGCAGCAGCACCGGTGGATTTGGGGCGATTGCCAGTGGTATAAGTGGTAGTGGCAGCGGTGGTGGTGGTAATGGTAGTGGTGGGGACGGTCGTTCTGGTAGCACTGCTATCGTCCGCACCCAATCCGCCTCCTCCCCTGCTTCCCCAGGCTTCAGCGTCCTCTCTCTCTTCACCTCCCCTCCTCAAACCCACCACCACCACAACCATCACAACCAGCATCAGCAGCACAGCCAACAGCAGCAGCACAGCCAACAGCAGCAGTCGCGTCTGTCTCAGACCTCCCCCCGTACCGCTGCTGCTGACGTCATCTCCTTCTTCACCTCCCCCTTCTCCCTTGGCCCCTCCGCCTCCCCCGCACCTCTCCCCCGCCAAAGCTCTGCAGGAGGCGCCTCCCCCCTCCGCAGGTCGTTACCAGGGGGGGTGGTATCTCCTGCGCTCTCTGGGGGCGGGGGAGGGGGGGGAATTGGAGGATTGTGGGCTTTGGTGACGCGGACTAGCAGCAGTGGGATTGGTGGGGGAGGAGGCGGGCTGGATGACGTGGCGGAGTCTCTGCCCTTATCTGCCACGTCATCAATGAACACGTCACTGGGGATCCTAGCTGGCATGTCGTCGCTGCGACCCGTGCAGGCGGAGCAGGCAGAGCCGTTGGATGCAAGCTTTTTCGAGGAGGTGAGTCTATGGGGATGGGGTGGGGAGTGTGGAGGGATGGTATGGGGAGGGTGGGGTTTCGGTGGGCGTTGGCGTACCGTGTATGTGCCAGGCTTGCATGTGATGAGGAGGAGTGCAGGCGGAGCAGGCAGAGCCGTTAGATGCAAGCTTTTTCGAGGAGGTGATCGTATGGGGGGAAGGGGGGAGAGAGAGAGGGGGGGAAGGGGGAGACAGGAGGGAGGGGGAGGGATGGGGAGGGAGTGGGAGGGAAGGGGAGGGCGTTGGTGTCTTGTGTGCGCTTTCAACGTCTCAATTAAAACACACATACACTTACTCTCCTTGTTATCCGCGTTACAGGACTTTGACCCTGTCCGCTGTGCGTTGGAGGAGCTTCCAGACGAACCCCTCTCGTTGCAACATCTTGGAACACAGGTGTGTGACTTGGGTTATTGTGCTTCCGTAGCAACTCATGCTTTACTTTCTCCGTGGAAAGGCCAACCAAACACGCACATGCTCATTCTTATCCTCATCGGACGATCAGCCTTTCCTTTGAAGTAAATTGCCAGCTGATGTGGCATCTGTTGCTGACGTGGTATCTGGCTGGCAGTGTGGAAAGCGGCAGCTGCAGCTGGATGAGGTGTCGGAACAGCTGGCGACACAAGTGATGAGTCACCACGAGGAGATGGGTGGGTGCTGCTGGGTGCTGTAGGGCGCTGGGTGTTGTAGACAGGGTGCTGCTAGGTGTTCTATGTAGGGTGCCATCAACCCCTTTCTCTTGTTGCTGAGGTTTAGCTTGACCTCGACTTCCACTCCCTTTTTTATCCTCCCTGCCATCCTTCTCAATACCCACCTTCCCCTTCTCCTGTCATCCCGCCTCCTGCCCGCCAGTGCAAGGGATGAACCTCTTTGCGGAGCTGGAGCGGGACCTTCAAGTGCTCTATGTCATCTGTAGGGTGAGTGGTTGGATCGTACCGCAATGCACACGTATGCATGTTGTATGTACGATGTGTATGATATGTATGATATGTATGCCGGTGGAGCCTCTAGTGCGATTTGCATGCTATTTTCACTCTCCCTCCCCAGCGTTTTTATTCTGTTGCCTTCTTCGACCTCTATTTTTGTTTGTTTGTCTGTTTGCCTTCTCTGTTTCCACCTTCTCTTCTCTTCCGTTTCGAAAGATTGTGTAGCCGGTTGAGTTGAGGCGCATCGGATGCTTTAACACCCGCCCACACTCTCTTTTTCCCATTCTCTTTCCCTTTTCTCTTGCTCTCCCCCCTCAGAATACACGCCGGTTGCTAAACAGTGCACGCAAGGACATCTTATCGAACCACTTCCCCTCTCCCACCCTTCCTTCTTGCCCCTCCCTCCCTCCCCCCTCCTTCCCCCCCCACTCTCTCTCCTCCCTCTTTCTCCCTCCTCAGAACACACGCCGGCTGCTGAACAGTGCGCGCAAGGACATCTCAAAGAACCTAGTGGTGTCCAACAATGTGCAAAAGAAGCGCATGGCCACTGTGAGTGTGGCGAGGGCAAGTGTCAGGGTACGAATGGGTGGGTGGTGTGGTGTGGGGTGGGGTGGGGTGGGGTGGGGATAGTGAGAGAACCTAGTGGTGTCCAACAATGTGCAAAAGAAACGCATGGCCACTGTGAATGCAGCGGGGGGAGAGGATTGTAGCGAGGGGTTTTGTTGAATGTGTGTGTGAGCGTAGTGAGGGGAAGGGAGCATGGTCACTGTGAGTCGATTATGTATGTGCATACTGTAAGTTTTTTCAACATTTTGTGTCGAAGGCGAGGGATCTAGTGTAGGCACGAGTGCGTGGGAGGCTATCGCCCGAATGTTTGATGCAGCAAACTGGCTCAGTAAGGGACACAAATCCACTCCTGCTGCAGCACATACACCACATGCAGCACATGCAGCAGATGCAGCACATGCAGCACATGCAGCACATGCAGCACATGCAGCACATGCAGCACATGCAGCACATGCAGCACATGCAGCACATGCAGCACATGCAGCACATGCAGCACATACAGCACATGCAGCACATGCAGCACATGCAGCACATGCAGCACATGCAGCACATGCAGCACATACAGCACATGCAGCACATGCAGCACATGCAGCACATGCAGCACATGCAGCACATGCAGCACATGCAGCACATGCAGCACATGCAGCACATGCAGCACATGCAGCACATGCAGCACATGCAGCACATGCAGCACATGCAGCACATGCAGCACATGCAGCACATGCAGCACATGCAGCACATGCAGCACATACAGCACATGCAGCACATGCAGCACATGCAGCACATGCAGCACATGCAGCACATGCAGCAGATAGCACAGATGAAGGCGCGCCTACAGCAGCTGGTGGAAAGGGGGGCATTACCCCGCCGCCCTGCAGCTGTTGACTCAGTGTCTGTCTGTCTCTCTGTCTGTCTGTCTTCGTGCCCCTGCCCGGAACCCCAGAGCATGATTCCCGTGTTGCAGCACATGCAGCAGGTGGCACAGATGAAGGCAAGGCTACAGCAGCTGGTGGAGGGCGCCCACTACCCCGCCGCCCTGCAGCTGACGCCCCTTGCTTGCTTGCTGCACCCAATGCCTATCTGTCTGTCTGTCTGTCTGTATGTCCTCGTGCCCTGCCCGGAACCCCAGAGTATGATTCCAGTGTTGCAGCACATGCAGCAGATAGCACAGATGAAGGCAAGGCTACAGCAGCTGGTGGAGGGCACCCACTACCCTGCTGCCCTGCAGCTGTGCTCGCGCTGCCTCGTGCTCGTGGAACAGAGCCGGTCACTGTGGGCCATTGGAGACATGAGCAGCAGCCTTGAGGTGAGGGGAGTGATAGCTGCAGAGGATGGCGTGGGATGAGGAGGAAGGGTTGGGAAACAGGGAACTACCCCGTCGCCCTGCAGCTGTGCTCGCGCTGCCTCGTGCTCGTGGAGCAGAGCAGATCATTGTGGGCTATTGGTGATATGAGCAGCAGCCTGGAGGTGAGGGGAGTGGGAAAAGATGGAGGGAGAAGTAGGGAGGGGTGGATGCCATTCTCTCCACTGAGCTGCCTTGCATTGTGCCGTGCTCACTCACCACTGTATGGAGAGCTGCTGCTCACCACTACACCCATTCACCTCACTGCACACCACTACAACCCACTCCACTCCACCCACTTCACTCCAGGGGTGGCTGGCACGATTGGTGGATGAGGTGGACGCCATTCTCTTCATTGTACCGTGCTCTCCAATGCACCTCAATGCACCCCGTTGCACCTCGTTGCACCCCATTGCACCCCGTTGCACCCCGTTGCACCCCGTTACACCCCATTGCGCTCCAATGCACTCCAGGGCTGGCTGGCACGGGTAGTGGATGAGGTGGACGCCATTCTCTTCACAGTCTGCCGCCGCTACAACCCCACCGCCTATGCCACGGTCAGTACCCCTTTACCACCTAACTTAACTATAGTCTCTTGCGGCTGCTACCTGCAGGCTGCCAGCCAGCCAGCTCTGGCAGGGAAGGTGTGTGATTTGCTTCTGTAGCTGAGTGATGATACTTCCCTTGTCCTTATGCACTCTCGCCTCCCTCTCTCTGCACCCTGCAGGTGCTGGATTCATATGCAGTGATGAACGGGCTGCCCGCCCTGGCAGAGAAGGTGCACAACTTCTTCTCCCAGGCAGTGGTGTCCGAGACCTATGATATCCTGCTGCAGTTCGTGGAGCAGGTGGGTGGGTGCGTGGGTGCTGGGTTGTTGTGGCACTGTGTGTGTGCTCATTCACGAGAGCATGCCTGTCGTGTCCGAGACCTATGATATCCTGCTGCAGTTCGTGGAGCAGGTGGGTGTGAGGGTGGGTTGGGTAGTGGCATTATGTGTGTGGGTGTGTGCTCATGTCATGTGTGAGAGAAGGTGCATAACTTCTTCCAAACAGTGATGTCCGAGACTTACGACATTCTGCTGCAGTTCGTGGAGCAGGTGGGTGGGTGGGAGTGTGAGTGTGCGCAAGTGTGTTCGTGTGGTGTTGTCCGAGACGTATGACGTCCTGCTGCAGTTCGTGGAGCAGGTAGGCAGTGTGTGAGGGTGGGTGGGGGTGTGAGTGTGCGCGAGTGTGATTGTGTGGGGGTGTGAGAGAGCTGGGTGGTAGCAGTGTGTGTGAGTGTGTACGAGTGTGCGAGTAACAATATGTATGTGGGAGGGAGTGTGTGAGTGTGTGTGGTGTGCGTGTGGTCTCCGGAACGCATGTCATACGACATCGGTTTTTCACCCACCCGTTGCGCCATGGCTTGCTCACATCACATGTCATCGTCGTCGTGCGTGCCGCCTGGTTGTGTGCTTGTGCAGGGAAGCACAGAAGACGACGTCAGAAGAAGCAGGTATGCCGCCTGTTGTCCCGATTAAATCTACCCTCTTCTGACTCCAACCTCTTTTGAATTCAAGTCACACTAGGCAAAATCCCCTTATTACACAAGTCAGGAGTTCAACTTCATTCCCTCATCCCTCCATCTCTTATCCTTGTGCCTCTTAACCCTGCCTCTCTCCTCTTTATAACAGGATGGCATACAGCGAGCTGTGCGGGCAGCTGTCGGACCGATTCTTCTTCCTCTGCCTCATTCGCACCATGGAGCTCGTTTTTGAGCTCATGTGCTCGCACCACGTCATGATGACCGCTCACCACCCACTGCTCAAGACAGTGAGTCGCATTGCCTGCTGCAAGCTACTTCTCATGTGTCTTTTGAGCTCGTGTGCTCGCACCACGTCATGATGACTGCGCACCACCCGCTGCTCAAGATGGTAAGCCGCGTTGCCCTGCTGCTCAAGATGGTAAGCCGCGTTGCCCTGCTGCTCAAGATGGTAAGCCGCGTTGCCCTGCTGCTCAAGATGGTAAGCCGCGTTGCCCTGCTGCTCAAGATGGTAAGCCGCGTTGCCCTGCTGCTCAAGAAAGCTGTTGCATCGCCCACTGTAAGCTCGTGTTTGAGCTCATCTGCTCGCACCACGTCATGATGACCGCCCACCACCCGATGCTCAAGACGGTAAGCAGCAAATGCGAACCCCATGCATGCACTTGTTTTCTGGGTCCAGTCCAGTGTCCTCGGAAATGAACATGCATTTTCCATACATGTGCTCTCTCTACCTTTTTTCTCTGCTCATTCCCCGGGTCTAAGACTGAGGCGCCTTAAAAATACACATGCATACTTGGTTGGTGCGCAACACAGCTCTTTCTCTATTATTCCGTTCCTCGCACTCCCCAATATCCGCTGCTCCTCCAAATCTGAACTTCCGACACACCATATTGTATCTTTTGCTACACACCAAGCGCCACCAAATCTGAACTTCCGACTCCTCATATTGTATCTTCTGCTCTCCACTCTTTCCACAGGTATCTGCTGCTCCCGCTGCCGCTCCGCCCGCTGCTCCCCCTGCTGCTCCGCCCTCCGCTGGTTCAAACGCGCCCCAAGTCCCGGCATCAGCAATCCCCATCTCCCAACCACCGATCCATCCACACCTCCTCCTTCCTCCTCTCAGCCTCTGAAGGCTGACCCGGCGATTGCAAGCAGCAGCAGCAAGAGTGGTGGTGGTGAGAGCAGGGCGAGTGAGGAAAGTAGGGCGAGTGAGGAGAGCAGTGCTGCTCCGGACCGGTTTGAAGACTCGCTGTGTTTGCCAGCTGCACAGGCTGTTGTGTTTGACGTTCCAGCACAGGCAGATCCCAGCACAGCACAGACGCATCCCAGCGCGTCTGGCGTTGTCTCAGGGACACAGGCTACTGGTGCTGCTGCTGCACCTGGCGCCAGTGGCAGCAGAGGTGCTGGTGGCAGCAACAGCGTTGCACCCAGCAGTGCTGCAGCACCCACCGGCAGTGGTGGTGGTGATGGTTTCAGTGATAGAGTGGTGGGTGCTAGTGGCAGTGGCGGTGAGCATTGGAACTTTCTGCAAGACGTGCAAGATGATGTTGACCGCATGGAAGGGCGAGGGGGAGGGACAATAATGGGAGTAGGAGGAAGGGAGAGAGGAAGGGACGGAAAAGGAGGTGGACATATGCTGGAGGAGGGAGGACGGGGTGAAAGGGCACCACCACAAGCAGGCTCTATCAAGGGGAAAGAACCTGCTGCTGATGGTTTTACTGCTGCCACTGCTACTCCTGCTGCTGCTGCTGGTGCTGCTACTTCCTCTGCGTCTGCTGTTCCTGCTGCTTCTGCTCTCCCTGCTGACACACCTGCCAGTGTAACCAGCTCTGCTGCAGGGCCGTCAGCAGCCAATGAGCTGATGCCAGCTGTCCCGTCGCCCGGCCAGTGAGCTGACGCCAGCTGTGCGGGAGGCGGCAGCAGCAGCAGTGAGGGGTGCGCTAGAGAAGGGTCGGAAGACGGTGTGGGAGCTGGCTGCTCGAAGGGTGGCGGCTCTTTTATCTGCTCCTCCTGTGTGGCTCTGGCACCTCGGAGCAGTTCCTGCAGGTGCGTGCTTGTGCCTCTGTTCTGTCTACATCTCTGTTTCTGATTCGCCAATACAGGAAGACGGTGTGGGAGCTGGCTGCTCGAAAGGTGCAGCTCTTTTATCTGCTCCTCCTGTGTGCTCTGGCACCTCGGAGCAGTTCCTGCAGGTGCGTGCTTCTGTTTCCATACCTCTCTTTCTCACTCAGAGTGAATCTTGCAGCAGTGAGGGGTGCGCTAGAGAAGGGCAGGAAGACGGTGTGGGAGCTGACTGCTCGAAGGGTGGCGGCTCTGCTGTGTGCTCCTCCTGTGTGCTCCGGGACTTCTGAGCAATTCTTGCAGGTAGGTGCTTCTGTTTCCCCTTCTCTCTTCTCACTCAGAGTGAATCTGGCAGCAGCAGTGGAGAAGGCGGTGTGGGAGCTGGCTGCTCGAAGGGTGGCGCCTCTGCTGTCTGCTCCTCCTGTGTGCTCCGGGACTTCTGAGCAATTCTTGCAGGTGCGTGCTTGTGCCTCTGTTCTGTCTACATCTCTGCTGCTGATTCGCCAATACAGGAAGGTGGTGTGGGAGCTGCTTCTCGCAGAGTGGCGGCTCTGCTGTCCGCTCCTCCTGTGTGTTCTGGCATCTCGGAGGCGGGGAGGAAGGGGACACAGTCCTCTGTCTCTTGGATGAGTTTGTGCTGGCAGGGAGGGGAGGCTTTCACCCAAGCGGGAGCGGGGAGTCTGAGTCGTAGCGCCAAGACGCACCTACTACCATTCACCCCCTGCTGCTTAATGCTGCCCCATGTGCATTCTTCCCGCGTGTGATGAGGCGATTTTTGAGTCGACTCAAAAATCGCCTCAAGACGCACCTACTACCATTCATTCACCCCTGCTGCTTAATGCTGCCCCGTGTGTATTCTTCCCGCATGGCCATTCCGCTTTGAGGTCGACTCAAAACACCTACTACCATTCACCCCCCCTGCTGCTGAATGCTGCCCCATGTGTATTCTTCCCGATGCCATTCCCTCCCTCACATCACATCCCCTGCAGGTTTCTCTGCCTGGTCGAAGAGTTTGTGCTGGCAGGGGAGGCGTTCACCTTCAAGGCAAAGGGCTGGGAGCCTGAGTCTTAGGTGCCAAGAGGCACTCACCATTCACATTCTGGATTCTGCTTGCCGTCCCTTACCCACACCTCTACATCCCCTACAGATTCTTTGCCTGGTTGTAAAGAAGTTTGTGCTGGGCAGGGGAGGGCGTTCACCCAAGCGGAGAACAGGGAGCCTGACTGAAGGCCAAGATGGCTCGGCACCCACCAACATGTTGACTTTTGAGTCGACTCAATAAGTACCAACTAAGCGGAGGACAGGGAGCCTGACCTGAAGGCCAAGATGCGCTCGGCACCCACCAGCAATGTAGGGTGACTTTTGAGTCGACTCAAAAGTCAACTAAGCGGAGGCAGGGAGCCTGACTGAAGGCCAAGATGGCTCGGGCAACCGCACCAACATGTTGACTTTGAGTCGACTCAAAAGTCAACTAAGCGGAGGCAGGGAGCCTGACTGAAGGCCTAGATGGCTCG